CCCATGGAGAGGCCCCCAGCACCTCTGCAGTCAGCTGCTCTCTGGGCTCTCTGGGTCCTGGAGGAGACAAGGCTAGGCAGTCTTCAGGGGGCGCCCAGCCCTGTCCTCATCAGCGAGTAGTCCTGAGCAGTCCCGGGCAGAGGCTCGTGTCCAAGAGCTTGTCTAGGAGGTGGTTTTCAGCACTCGCCTCTCTTTACAAGGGAAGAAATGGTCAAACAGAGGCTTGCCCAAGGCTACCCAAAGTAGCACAGGCAGCCTCCAAACAGGTGTTTCCAACAGAGAACTCACAAGGCCAAGTGGTGCACAGTAGAGCTGGAGAGGGCTCGTGGTGAGGACTCACTCAGGCTCTCTTGGCACCAGCGCGGGGGCTGGCTCCGTGCTGTGAAGGCAGGTCCAGCACCTGGGAAGGGCCAGTTTAGGGGTGTGAGTGGCCAGAGCTAGATCTTTTTTTTTGTTTCAAATTCATTTTATTATTTATGTTGGAATGAGGCTTTGAACTAAGGGACTTGTACATTCAGATTTTTTTGCTCATGGTGCTTCTACCACTTGAGCCATACCTGCAGTCTGGCATTTTTCTGGTTAATTGGAGGTGGAGTCTCATAGGCTTTTCTGCTGGGGGCTGGCTTTGAACTGCACCCTCCTGAGTGGCTAGGATTAAGGAGTGAGCCACAGACACCCAGCTGGGTTTTAACAGTCCTGGTAATTAAACTCAGCCCTTCCCCTTCTACTGTGTAACCTGTCATTTTACTTTGAGTTTGTTAAAGCTCCAGCTCCCAGAGTCTTTTCACCTTTTTGCCACCATGTGAGGCTGCGGTGTGAAGTCAGCATCTTTTTTTTTTTTTTGGTTGATTGTGGGTCTTGAACTCTGGGCCTGGGCGCTGTCCCTCAGCTCTTCAGCTCAAGGCAAGCGCTCTACTGCTTGAGCCACAGCGCACTTCCACCTTTTTATTGCTCCTGTGGTACTGAGGAATCAAACCCAGGACCTCATGCATGCAAGGCAAGTACTCTACCACTGAGCCACCTTCCCAGCCCAAAGTCAGCAATCTTTAACTAGAAGGAGACCACAGCAGACATTGGATCTGCTAGTATATCAGTCTTGGACTTCTCAACTCTTCTAAACTGTGAGAAAAAAATGTGTGTAACTTACGTGGAATCTGGCGTAAAGTGATTGAGAGGTGTTTCTGGCATTCAGTGGGTAGAGGCCAGAGATGCTGCTGAACACCGACAGGACACAAGGCAACCCCTCCCCCACACATCAAAGAATTATAGGGGCTGGGAAGGTAGCCCAGTGGTAGAATGCTTGCTTCATGCATATGAAACCCTAGGTTGATTCCTCAGTACCACATAAATAGAAAAAGCTGGAAGTGGCGCTGTGGCTCAAGTGGTAGAGTGCTCGCCTTGAGCAAAAGAAACTCAGGGACAGTGCCCAGGGCCTGAGTTCAAGCCCCAGGACTGGCAAAAAACAACAAACCAACAAAAATACATGCAGAGGCTGAGGCCCAGAGCCAGTCAATTCCCCATCCTGTCCTTTCCCGAGCACAAGAACTTGACCCGTGTCATATCTTCCTAAAATCAGACATCATGCTCATGTGAAAAGAGAACCAACTGCAAGTCCATCCCCGTCCGCCCCTAACCAGGAGAACCATTGGGGAGGCTTTGGCTGCACTTCAAAGCAAATGCTGCCACCTAGTGGAACTGTGTCAGAACAACACCTGCAGGGACATTCTCACGAACTGGAGCTGCTTTTCCACTGTTGCAAGTCCGTGGGGACCAGGGAAGAGATGAAGAAAAACAGGCTAAAAGGTTTATGGGGCGGGGAAGGTGGCTCAGTGATAGAGCGCTTGCCTTGAGCTGAACAGCCGAGGGACAGTGCCCAGGCCCAGAGTTCAGGCCCCACAACTGGACCCCCCCCAAAAAAACACACAAAAAAACAGGTGGTTTACTCAGGAAGCCAGACATCATTGCATTCACTTGGAGGTAGAGACAAATGCTGATAGAAAAAGGTGTTGAGAGGGGAAAATAAAGGTTTCAGGTGCACTGGAATTGGACG